TGCATTAATATTGGGTTACAATGTTAAGTATAGCTAAGGATGTATTAATAGAAGTACAAGAAAGACAAAAGACATATTCAGATAAAAAAAGATGATTTTGTGAGCTAAAAAAGGAGATAAAGTATTAGTAAATATAGCGAATTTAACAGCACTAAAGAATTTAAAAAGAAAATCAAAAAAATTCATACCGAAGTATATAGGTCTATTCAAAGTTACAGAAGTAATTTCCTCTACTGTTTACAAGTTACAACTATCTAACACCTTGTGTATATATCTGGTATTCCATATTTCTTGCTCGAAACCTTATTATTATGATAAATTTAAAGTAAGAGAAGTACCATTACCACTACCGTTGTTAATAGATCTGAACTTAGACGCAGAATATGAAGTCGAAGTTATTTTGGACAAGAAAAGTTACCACCATCAAATACAATATCTAGTAAAGTGAAAGAGTTATTCTTTACATGATGCTATATGAAAACCTCTTAAAAATCTTAGAAATTGTAAACAATTAGTTGATAACTTTGAGAGAAATTTGAGATCTTCTTTTAGTGGAGAAGAATGTAGAAAAATAGATTATCTCCAATGTGGTTTGTGTAATGATTGTAACAATCATAACGAACGTGATACATGTAACGATTGTGATGATTATAACAAATGTGATGATCATGATAAACATAATTCATGTAATGATTGTAATGATCATAACGAACATAATGAACATGACAATTGTAAACCGTAACCCAAGAAGTCCCAACAATTGCATAAATATTAGGTAGTTAGTTAGTAGGGTTAGATAAATTAGATATGCGTATTAGAAATGTAGTCATAAAAAGATTAGTAAAAGTAATATATAAATATAAAATGAAACAAGTAATAAAGGATATACTTACCTTTGCAAAAATGATCTTGACGTCACGTTATAATAATAGTTCAAATGCGAATAATGAAGAAAAGAAAATATACGATAATGTAAAGAAGAAAAGAGATAGAAACCAGAGAGATAAAATAGAAATTAAGGTGCATATATGGTATTTAATAAAGGTGATTTTGTTGATTTAGGTGAGGAAGGTATAGAGCTGGTCGGAAGTAGAGCCTCAAAGAATATAGCTGTAATCT